GTCGTGTTCTGATCCGTCTGCCTGGTTTCTTCATAAATCCAGGAACCATCAGAGACAGGAACTAAATGAACCTGCTGAGTGTTTGTGACTCCACACGTCTGTAAACTCCTTTACTATTGGACAAGTTTCTGACCAATCAAATCTCAGCACAGACGAAGATTTACGACCGTGTTTGATCTTCAGAACCACGTCTGTGGTCTGGTTCTGGTCCTTTATTTGGAGAGACCCGGTCTCTTGTTTGTCTTTGAGCAGAGATCATGTGGTCTGAGTTTTCCTCCCTTCTCCGTTTCTCCATGGAGCTTCAGTTCTCAGATGTTTGTCCCGTGGTCCTCAAACATCTGAACTAGTCCACCTTCATCAGACTCTAAAGTCAGACCTCCTGAATTCTCCCTCAGCTGATTCAGACCGGAGCTCCTCATATGAACCAGAACTAAACCCTCTTGTCCTCCTCTCTCGCCCTCTGCAGAGTTCTACGAGGAGATCCTGTCGCTGGCGTTTGGTCTCACCTGTCAGACCATCTCCCCTCAGATGTGGCAGCTCCTGGGCGTCCTGTACGAGGTCTTCCAACACGACTGCTTCGACTACTTCACAGGTGAGTGGACTCCAGGACCTCTGAGAAATCAGTGCAGATGTTTCACAGATAGACCTCCTGGACCTTCAGTCTGACCTCCTGGACCTTCAGTCTGACCTCCTGGACCTTCAGTCTGACCTCCTGGACCTTCAGCCTGACCTCCTGGACCTTCAGTCTGACCTCCTGGACCTTCAGTCTGACCTCCTGGACCTTCAGTCTGACCTCCTGGACCTTCAGCCTGACCTCCTGGACCTTCAGTCTGACCTCCTGGACCTTCAGCCTGACCTCCTGCATCATCTCGTTGGTCTTTCGCAGGTGTGTTTTGTCTCGTTGTAAACGTCGTGGTCACTCCTCCATGTCGTGTGTTTGTGTCGCAGATATGATGCCCCTCCTCCATAACTACGTGACGGTCGACACGGACATGCTCCTGTCCAACCCCAAACACCTGGAGGTCATCTACAGCATGTGTAAAAAGGTCAGACTGACGTTCTCCTCCTGCTCCTCATGAAGTGTTGAAGTTCTCCTGTGTCACTCGCTGCTTTGACCTTTGACCTGCTGCAGGTGCTGACCATCGATGCGGGCGAGGACGCCGAGTGTCACGCCGCCAAACTGTTGGAGGTGATCATCCTGCAGTGCAGAGGCCGGGGCATCGACCAGGTCAGAACAACGTTTGATGAGGGTCTCTGCTGACCCGGGTCTCAGAGATCTGCTGATCCGGGTCCCAGACCTCTGCAGACCCGGGTCCTTGTACAGTTAAGAGTGTGTCCATCAGAAGTGTGTATTTTGAGTCAGTGTGGGTCCGTTTTCTCCCCGTTTTCTCACCTGTGGACTAAATTAGTTTGACTGTCCCTTTAATTAACCTTGTGGGCGTGTCTTCATGACCTCACAGTGCATCCCCCTGTTTGTGGAGGCGGTCCTGGAGCGTCTGATGCGCGGCGTGAAGTCCAGCGAGCTCAGGACCATGTGTCTGCAGGTGGCCATCGCTGCTCTGTACTACAACCCGGCGCTGCTGATCCACACGCTCGACAACATGCACTTCCAACAAAGCCCCGCCCCCATCACCGCACACTTCATTAACCAATGGATGAACGACACCGAGTTCTTCCTCGGGTAAGGGGGTCCTCCTCGGTCCGGTTCAGAGTCCGCTCAATCGTCTGAGTCTTGACTGGAGAGGAGGGTCAGTGTTGACGACTCATCTTCTTCTTCTTCTTCTTCTTCTTCTTCTTCTTCTTCTTCTTCTTCTTCTCTTGTCCTCCAGACTCCATGACCGTAAGATGTGCATCATCGGCCTGAGCGTCCTGATGGAGCTGCCGAGCCGACCTGCGGTCCTGGAGGGGGTCGCCGCTCAGATCGTCCCCTCCATCCTGCTCCTGTTCCTGGGCCTCAAACATCTCTACGCCTCCCGCCTCGCCAACAAACCCGACCTGCTGGCCCGCGCAGGGATCCAGGATGAAGACCAGAACGGTGAGGACAGACAGAGAGGTGGAGGACGGAGGACGGAGGTCGAGGACAGAGGTGGAGGACGGAGGTGAAGGACAGAGGTCGAGGACAGAGGTCGAGGACAGAGGTCGAGGACAGAGGAGGACAGAGATGTACAGAGGTCGAGGACAGGGTGGTGGACAGAGGTGGAGGACAGAGGTCAAGGACAGAGGTGGAGGACAGAGATGGACAGAGGTCGAGGACAGAGATGTACAAAGGTGGAGGACAGAGGTGGAAGTCAGAGGTGGAGGACGGTGGAGGGCAGAGATGGACAGAGATCGAGGACAGGGTGGAGGACAGAGGTGGAGGACAGAGGTTGAGGACAGAGATGGACAGAGGTGGAGAGGTGGAGGACAGAGATGGAGGACAGAGGTGGAGAGGTGGAGGACAGGGTGGAAGTCAGAGGTGGAGGACAGAGGTGGAGGACAGAGATGGACAGAGGTGGAGGACAGGGTGGAAGTCAGAGGTGTAGGACAGAAGATGAGTGAGGGTTTCAGACTGACCTTCATCTGTCTCTGCAGAGGAGATCCCCAGCGACGAAGACGAGGTCAATGAAAACCGAAACGCCATGCAGCAGCAGTGCAGCATGCCGGCGGGTCAGGGCGGCGAGGACGACGAGGACGAGGACGAAGACGACTACTGGGATGATGACGGCTTTGAAGGGACGCCTCTGGAGGAGTACAGCACACCTCTGGACTACGACAACGGAGAAGACGAGTACAAGTTCTTCACGGCGGCGCTCCTCCGTAAGACACCGGGGTGGGGGGCGGGGGGCAGATACGTGTTAAAACTTTTAATTATTTTAAAACTTTTAATTATTTTAAAAACTTTTTATCTTTTTTAACTTTTAATTATTTAAAAACTTTTAATTATTTTAAAACTTTTAATTATTTTAAAACCTTTTTATTTTTTTTAAACTTTTAATTATTTTAAAACTTTTAATTATTTTTAAAACTTAATTATTTTAAAACTTTTTATCTTTTTAAACTTTTAATTATTTTAAAAACTTTTTATCTTTTTTAACTTTTAATTATTTAAAAACTTTTAATTATTTTAAAACTTTTAATTATTTTTAAAACTTTTAATTATTTTAAAACCTTTTTATTTTTTTTAAACTTTTAATTATTTTAAAACTTTTAATTATTTTTAAAACTTTTAATTATTTTAAAACTTTTTATCTTTTTAAACTTTTAATTATTTTAAAACCTTTTTATTTTTTTTAAACTTTTAATTATTTAAAAACTTTTAATTATTTTAAAACTTTTAATTATTTTTAAAACTTTTAATTATTTTTAAAACTTTTAATTATTTTAAAACTTTTTATCTTTTTTAACTTTTAATTATTTTCAAACTTTTAATTATTTTAAAAACTTTTAATCATTTTAAAACTTTTCACACTGAACTCAATAATAAAAACCAAAAGACTCTGAAAAGAATTGGGCCGGTCCTCTCGGATCAGAACATAATTCTGCTCGTCTTTGTCAGGGGTCCAGAACAGCGACGCCGCCTGGTACCAGAGTCTGACGGCGCCGCTCAGCGAGGACCAGAAGAAACAGCTGCAGGAGATCTACAGCATCTCACAGCAGAGGAGGAGCACCGCCGCCAAGGGCCAGTGGTGAGGACGGGCACACGGGCACATGCACAGAAACACACACTCACAGACTCACACACACACACACACACACACACACACACACACACACACTCGCCTCCTCCCGCTCTGACGTGTCTCTGTCGTCTCACTGATTTATTTTAAAACCAAAAACATTTAAAGTTTCATCAGAACTTAAATTCTGACTCTTGGCCGTGATTGAAATCTGAAAAACACTGATCTGGTCCGAGAGCCGGTTCTGTCCGGTTCTAATAAAGTGTCTAAGGGCTCTATTTTCACGCCTCGCCGGTGGTGTGGTGCAGGCACGGCAGGTCAGGTCCACTGCGCCGACAAGGCCCTCCCAAGCACAATTTGGTATTTTGGTGAGCGGCGCAGCCCGGCGCAAGTACCCCCCCACCAACTCAGCTCCTCCCAGCGGCGTGAGTCATAGGGAGGGAGGAGAGAAGGTTTTCTTCCATCAGAACCTCTCCTCACCTTTAAATCCGCCACTGGCGAGGCGTATTACTATTTTCGTGCAGTAGTCAAAGAGATCAAGAGATGTCTGAAGACAGCAACGCCACACGATGGCGACAGGAGGCAGAGTGTGGCTGTAAGCGCTGCAGAGGGCATCGTCCACACTCTCTCATATGAGCACAGATGGATTTGGTGTAAGTTTGGACCCACTGGTGAGACAAACATCCTTTTCCACAGATAAAGACACTCACATAAAGTTGCTCATATTCAAACTTCACAAAGGTGGGTTCTTGTTCACTTCATCATGTCTGTTTATTTACTAGATATTTAATTTAAAGCAGTTTCAGATGTGTTAGTTCGGTCAGGTTGTTTGTCTAAACCCTCGTCTTATTGGTTGTTGTCGATTATTTATTTCACTGAAATTTTCCTGAAACTGTGGAAACCTGTCGGTGAGACATGAGTGACGTATGCCGATACACCGCCGGTCTACCAGAATACCACTAGACCAGCTGCGCTCGGCCTGCGCTGAAAGCTGACCAGGTTTGAATCGGCGAGTTTTCTGCGCACTTTAGACGCCTCAGTCCACCAAATACCAAACCGGCTGTGTGCCGGGGTCCGCCAGACCAAAATACCACTGCGCGGGGTCCACCACCCTCCACCGCTCTGCCGGGCACAAAAATAGAGCCCTAAATGTCAGGGGGGTCTGTGTTGGTCCTGGTCTGAGAGCCCGGTTCTGTCCGGTTCTGTGTGGGTCCTGGTCCAGTTAAACCTCAGTGTCGTCTTTTTCTCGCCCTCACTAACTCCTCCTCCTTCTGGTTTGTTTGTTTTCAGAGGAGACTTTCGGAGGAGGAGGAGCTGGTCCGACCTGACCTGAAGAGGATCTCA